TCCCTTAGAACCCCCCCCCCACCTCTAAGAAATCAAATACCACTAAATTTATGTATAATTTCAGTCAGTCGCGGAATAAGCCTTAATGAAGGTCTCATGCGATGGCTTTAAGTTTGACATCAATTAATTTAAACAAAATAATGATTTAAATGAATATTTTATAAAATTATTTTCACTTTTAAAATATTTAATAAATTGGAAATAAAACAATTTCTATACAAAAGTCATCTATTCATTCAAAATTTGTTATCAAAAGATTAACATTGATATAAACTAATCCTTTAAATTATTTAAATGTTCTTAAGTTCTCAACCCCCCTCCCCCTCGTTCGCAAAAGTTCGCTTTGCTCCCCCCAAGTGCGAACGTAATATGTGAACAATGCCCATGGTAAAGTTTTGTCATATTATTTGATTATCTTATGAGAGGTCTCCGTTTCCAATGCAAAATATATTGGATTTACAATGCATTCAATTAAATTTAATGAAATCATTTTGAAAACAATTTATTTTCTTAATTAATACAAATTTTAGTAGCAATTATTTTTAATAATAATAATTTTAATCAAATCTATTCAGTATTTAAATATCGTATAATCAAAGCACACATTAATAGCACAAAAACAGCGAAACATTAATTTGTTGCCAAACTTTAAAGTTGTGTCAACTCTTTACGGCTGACAACCATAGGCTCATACAATACACGAGCGGACAGTTGTCTGTCGTAATAGTCGTAGACAGCGATGGGAACGGCTTTATTGTCGGCCACCCGATGGGTCCGGTGCGCGCCTACTGTCACACAAATGTCATCCTTTGTTATCTACAAAATACACACAAATTATGATTAATACAAAATATCAAAAATTTTTGTATCAATCGATGCCATACTTTATCCAAATATATGATGATATTTGTGTCGCCTTTAGAAGAGTCCACTCGTTTGATGTCTTTCCCCACCGGCAGTGACTCCATGTCCGCCACGAAACCTGAGGGCAGCTCTACCTCCATGAGCGCCATATTAGTAGCCGTTCCCTTGTTATAGCTATAAATTTAAAGACAAAAAACACAAATTAAATACAATTCTCAACAGAATATTCTGTGTTTTCAATACTGAGTGCATATATTGAGTTTGAGGTAACTATCGGTCGACGCCTTATCGACCACTCCTCTCAAGTCAAACGCCGGCGCCTCTGAATTGACGGCCAGATTGTAGTGATAGGAGACCTGAACAATTGCGGCGCCCACACCCCGGGCCTCCACGTCCACTTCCCGCGTATTCACCGGTAACTCAATCTTCTGTAATACCATTGCGTTGTTGTTATCGATTTGCAGGTCTTTTGTATCGGTTTTATCATCCGTTTTATAATTGAATTTCACGTCTAATGCGATATCAGTGTTGGACAGGCGTTGAGCCAACGCCCCCAACGCCTGGATCCCAATGACGGTGTCCTGAGTGGAGGCGAACCCTCCGTTTGAGTTCTGTTTGGAGATCAACCACCGGAGCACTGGTAGCGCGTTCTCGACGTCATTCCTGGCCACCAGTGACAGCATCCCATAGCCAGACATCTCCACGTCGTATGACTTGGGCTCAGAGCCATATGTGGACAGTCGACTGGACTGGTCGCTGGTTTTGGTGCCGTTATCACTCGACCACCACTTATAGTCACCGCTATTACGGCTAAGTTTCATGAATTTAGTGAACGCCTCGTCTTTTGAGGGACTGTTAGCCAAAAACAAGGCGTGACTTATGATCGACAAGTCATACGGATCTTGAGTTTCGTTCAATTGGTTTCGGATGTAGTTTTCAGCCGCACTTATGGCAGTCTTGCGCTCAGTCTCATTGGCACCATTATCCTGAAGTATTGAAATCAGTACGTAGGCCGTGAGGACAGCCTTATTGCCGGTCGACCCGCCCTGCATGTCCTTATGTAACACATTTCCCGGTTCATTGAAACTGCCGTCAAGTTTCTGTTGATTTAGTAGCCATTGGATGCCGGAGTCAATCACCTTCTGGTCCACGTCTACCGTTCCCTTTGCCTGACTGAACGACTTGACCACAAACGCCGTCAGCCATGTGCTGCCACTCCCATCAGATTTGCCGAAAGCACTGAACGACCCGTCGGTCCGCCTATACGTCAGTTCCCTTTGATATCCCGTTTCGATGTTAGAGACGGCCTTTGATTTGATTTGAGGCGTCAGTCGATTGATTTGTTTCAAGTAATTCAAGACAACGATATTCGGCACAAAATTACTATTAATTATAAAGTAAAATCATATAATTAATAAAAAATATAGATAATTAACTTATACAGTATATAATTTATATATATACTGCATAATTATTTTAAAAAGGTCAAATTGTTTCTACCAAGTTAGTAACTAAATTAACACTAATAACTTAAGGTAAAATAATAGCCCTAAACTAAAACATTTAAATTTATATTAAGTTACTTAATAAATAGCTACAATAAATCTAAAACTATTTACGGTACCAGTGACCTTTTAGATAATAGAGTCCTACTCTACAGATATATTTATGTTATGAAATACTATAAGTTTATTTAAAATTTAAATCTAGTTTTAAAATAATGACAAACAGCTGACTTACAGCATATTCTGTTCGCCACACCCACAGGGTATCCTCAGTAAGTTATCCAGGTTATTAACCGTAGGCCCCATGATATCTCCAATGACCGCCACATTCACCCTTTCAGACCCGGGAACGGCATTCTTGGGGACGACAACCGACACGTTTTGTTTCAACACATTCTGCGACGAGTTCTTGAAGTCGACGAGAAGTGCTTTATTGAAGTACTGGGTCTGACCCTCGGGTTTGACCACCAATTTCTGGGACACGGAGTCGCCCGCAGCCGGTGTGGTGGCCGTCAGCTTAATGTCAATATTGCCCACAATTTTAGGGGTAATCAGGAAAGTGACGGAAACGCCGTCATTGGCGCCCACTTTAATGGACTTCCGTTTTTCGGTCACATTTCTGGCGGCGTCGGCGTCCAAGTCGTTGGCGGCGGTCGTGAACTCAAACTCCCCGTCCGTGTTGTGCATCACAACGTCCGCGTCGACCGTTTTGGACATATAGTTGAAGACAATCGCCTGAATGGCCACCGATTCGCCTCTTATTATAGAGTAGGGTAGAGAGAGTTTGATGAAAAACGGTCGGAACACCGTTACCTGAAAGGGAAAGGTATGCCTTATTATCACATTGAGAGGGAGGGGAGGGAGTTAGGGAGAGACAGCCATACCTTCGCACTGTTAGCCGCAATCCCGAGTCCCGTCTCGGCGTCCATAGCAAAGGCGCTGACAAACCACGAGGTAATGGTGTCGGGGATAGTACTCTGTATGACAGCACTCCCATTGGCACTGAAATAGCAATTCATTAGTGAAATCTATACACGTATTCAAAGCACACAATAGAGTGACCGAAACCGACATAAATTTTTTCGACGAAACAAATATCATTAATACATTAATAGCTTTAAGCGGAAAGGGGTGCAAAAGGGAAAGGGATGAGAAATTGGATTAAGGGTGTGTTGGATACACAGCAGACGTGGACTCCCAGAGCCATGTTTCGGGAAAATGTTTTCTAACCTTCCTGAGGTGGTTAGCCTTAGGCTGTGCCGTACGCGTGTAAACCGCTTGCAATCGGATTATTGCGAAATTCGCGAGAATGTTTGGCGGTCTGAAGGCACCCTCTGGTCAACAAAATATAAATGGTAATCCAATGGGTGTTTAAACTAATTTGATAATTAATTATTAACTAACTATAAATTACCCATCACCAATAATAATTAATAATAAAATTTTAACAATTAAACCAGGTTGTGGGTTATTTAAATAATTCTGGTGATACTCGCACTGTAGTGATATAAAAAGTGACCAGTTTGTTAAAGTAAATGGGTTAGCAATTAAAGCATAGCAAACAATGGGATTGGCAGGGGAAGGGTAGATAGCCAATACCTGGCTGATGTTGATTCCCATAACCATGTATCGGGAAAATGTTTTCTGACTTTTATGTTAGTATTGTTAGTGTCGGGCGTTTCAATGCCATTGTTTTTAACCGGAATAGATGAGGATCTCTTCAAACTATTAATGGTAGGCATTCCCAAGTCATTGTTAACCCCTCTCCTATTAAATCTAATTCTGGACGTGTGTGCATCATCTAAACACATAAAAATTAGGCATAATTTGTGATACAAACAAAATCAAAAACTAAACTACACTTAATTTTCAACGACTATTGTAAGCATTGCATAGAATTGTTGAGTAAAACGGTATAAAATTTCATATTTTAGTTTCTGTCAAACCATTGGGTGAGTGAGTGAGTGAGAGAGAGAGAGAGCGCCAATACCATGTTAGTGTCGATTCCCATAACCAGGTTTCGGGGAAATGTTGTCTAACATCTACTTTATTAATGTTATTATTAGTAGCGACAGGCGTTTTAATGTGATCAAGCACTCTTGAAGCCTTTTGTAGTCTACCGCCTAAGGATTGTAGTGATAGCATACCACCACGACTACCCCTACCCCTTACCGGCTCGTCATCCATTTGCTTGAATTTACGCCGATATTCACTCTCTAAATATAATACAATTATAGCCATATAAATACACTTATAGATTATTCTAAGCCTTATAAAACTTTAAACTAATAAAAATATGAAATTTGAACAAAAATTATTTGTTCATTAAATATAGTAAAAAAAACTTATAAGAAATTCGGTCAAACTATTGGGTGAGTGAGAGAGGGAGGGGAGAGAGCAAAACAATTATCATTAATACATTAATAGCTTTTAAGCGGAAATGTATGCAAAAGGGAAAGGGATGCAAAATGGGATTAAGGGTGTGTAGGATACCCGGCTGACGTGGACTCCCAGAGCCATGTTTCGGGGAAATGTTTTCTAACTTTCTTGAGGTGGTTAGGCTTAGGGTGTGCCGTACCCGGCAATGGTGTGGGATGTGGAGCCCCTATAGCGCTCAAATGGGAGGGCGGGACCGCTTGGAATCGGATTATTGCAAAAATCGCTGGTAGGTGTGGCGGTCTAAAGGCACCCCCTGGTCAACAAAATAAATGGTATCCCATTTGGTGTTTAAACTAAATTTGATAATTATTTATGAACTAACTATAAATTACCCATCACCAATAATAATTATCAATAAAGTTTAAATAATTAAAACAGGTTGTGGGTTATTTAAATAATTCTGGTGATACTCGTACTGTATAAATTGCCCTGTTTGTTAAAGCATATAGACTAGCAAGTAAAGCACAGCAAACAATGGGAGGGTAGATAGCCAATACCTGGCTGATGTTGATTCCCAGAGCCATGTTTCGGGGAAATGTTTTCTAACTTTCTTGAGATGATTAGCCTTAGGGTGTGCCTATGCGGCCGTACAGCGGACAGGGAGGTCGGAACCGATTGGAATCGGTCTAATGAGATAATTCGGGGTATGTTTCGCGGTCTGAAAGCACCCCCTGGTCAACAAAAAAATGGTATTCCACTTTGGTGGTTAAACTAAATTTGATTGTTGTTTGACTTTATGTTGTTAAAACATAAGCTAGCAAACAATGGGATTGGGATAGAATATTCTAAGCTTTATAAAAATTATTAGTGAATTAAATGTAGTAAAAAAATTTATAAAAATTTCGGTCACTCTATTGGGTGAATGGGAGAGGGAGGGAACAAATACCCGGCTAATATCGAGTCCCATAACCATGTTTCGGGAAAATGTTTTCTAACTTCTAACTTATTACGAGAAGTGTGAGTATCAAGTACAATTCCTTCCCCAGACATGACCCGGTTCCTCTTGTGGTATTCATACGTAGGGCNAACAATGGGATTGGGATAGAATATTCTAAGCTTTATAAAAATTATTAGTGAATTAAATGTAGTAAAAAAATTTATAAAAATTTCGGTCACTCTATTGGGTGAATGGGAGAGGGAGGGAACAAATACCCGGCTAATATCGAGTCCCATAACCATGTTTCGGGAAAATGTTTTCTAACTTCTAACTTATTACGAGAAGTGTGAGTATCAAGTACAATTCCTTCCCCAGACATGACCCGGTTCCTCTTGTGGTATTCATACGTAGGGCTATCGGGTGATCGGGAACGGGATCTCGACTGAGACCGTGACCGCGATCGGTACCTATAGAGCCGTCTCACTAAATATAATATAATCATACATTATATATAGTTATCAGCATATTCTGGGTCTAGGGTTTTAAACATAGTCTGAGGTCTTGCCATACCAGCCCCTAAGTCACCTACTACTCAGCTGTTTGTACCGATTATGTGGCGGTAGTGGTGTACCCCTAATACAACTTGTTTTGCTTAATATAATTATTCTGTACTATTCATAAACATAAATAAATTCACTACTGTAATATTATAATTACAAATCTAAACAACATATTTGTTTGGCAAACCCATGGTCAGCACCGGGATGTTTTAAAACGTAAATTAAAACTATAATAATATTTGGAATATAACTGGAATATTCACCCAGTTGGTTTATGAGAAAATAGTTTTATAAGTGCGACAAAATTAACCAAAAAAGCAAATAATCAAAGTAAACAATTAATGCAAATAAGTCAACAGGGTAGGGGTGTTAATGCAATAGCACAGCAGTATTAATACAATTAGTTTGGAAGCGATTTTGTATGAAAAGCTTAATTCAATTGAAAGTATCAAACATTGCAATGAATTTCACAAAACAATTTCAAATACATGGATTTCGATTTCAAAACTATTGAGTGTTTTGAGCGAAATAGTAATGAAAATGAAATATAGACTCAAATACAGGGCAGTAATGGACGCCCAGATCCAGGTCTCGGGAAAGTGTTTCCTTAGATTGGGTGCATTACTAGTGGTGTGGGCGCCGGCACTATCGACTGATCCTCGAGTAGCACTGATATCATTAGACTCGACAACGAAGGCCTTCTTTGCCACCGGCTCCTCCTCCCACTCCTCCACCGAATCCAAAACGAAACCGTGATTCTCATCCGAGTCATAATAATCATCGGGAACTACATTGGGGTGCGATTAAGGGGAAAGGGGTCGCAAGAGATTGTGAATATTACTTACATTATACAGTACACTATAATCTATACTATTATTACAAAACTATTCAAAAACTTAATTCTCGAAATAATAAGTTACTATTTTAAGCGACTTATTAATTCAATATACGTTTGAAATTAAATAATAAGTCATAAAAATTATATATTATTCGTCCGTTTCGTGTGAATCATTGTATGAGAGAGAGAGAGAGAGAGAGAGAGAGAGAGAGAGAGAGAGTCACAAATACCCTGCTAATCTGGTGTCCCATAACCAGGTATCAGGAAAATGTTTTCTAACTTTTACAGGTTCGGCAATAGTATCAGTAATAATGGCAGCCTTTAAAACTTGACCATGCTCAGCCACATCTTTTCTGGGGGCCTTTTTAGCCTTTATAACCATGGCTTTACCACCTTTTACTAACCTCCCCAATGGTCTGTAATGGTAGCGTATCAGCCCTTATAATTATATATAAACTTAATTATAACTACTATATGTTTAAATTATGTAATTAATTAAATTAATTCGCATTATAATTATAATATAAATATTGATATTAGTTTTCATATGTGTCAAGATATTGGCAGCACCGGGAGGTTTTGAAAGATTGTGAAATGCATAAAATTTAGAGACCCAGATGAGCTCCAATAGGAAATTATACAGAATTTGAGCGTTGGTGCACTTGCATAGCAACATGGTCATTTTGTCAGCAATTTAGTCAATAGTAAAATTCATTTTAAAAATTATAATTGCAATGAATTAACAAAACATTTTCATTCATGCGTTTCGATCGCAAATCTATTGAGTGCTTAAAGATATAGTAATGAAAATGAAATATAGAGTANCCGCTTGGAATCGGATTATTGCAAAAATCGCTGGTAGGTGTGGCGGTCTAAAGGCACCCCCTGGTCAACAAAATAAATGGTATCCCATTTGGTGTTTAAACTAAATTTGATAATTATTTATGAACTAACTATAAATTACCCATCACCAATAATAATTATTAATAAAGTTTAAATAATTAAAACAGGTTGTGGGTTATTTAAATAATTCTGGTGATACTCGTACTGTATAAATTGCCCTGTTTGTTAAAGCATATAGACTAGCAAGTAAAGCACAGCAAACAATGGGAGGGTAGATAGCCAATACCTGGCTGATGTTGATTCCCAGAGCCATGTTTCGGGGAAATGTTTTCTAACTTTCTTGAGATGATTAGCCTTAGGGTGTGCCGTATGCGGCCGTACAGCGGACAGGGAGGTCGGAACCGATTGGAATCGGTCTAATGAGATAATTCGGGGTATGTTTCGCGGTCTGAAAGCACCCCCTGGTCAACAAAAAAATAGTATTCCACTTTGGTGGTTAAACTAAATTTGATTGTTGTTTGACTTTATGTTGTTAAAACATAAGCTAGCAAACAATGGGATTGGGATAGAATATTCTAAGCTTTATAAAAATTATTAGTGAATTAAATGTAGTAAAAAAATTTATAAAAATTTCGGTCACTCTATTGGGTGAATGGGAGAGGGAGGGAACAAATACCCGGCTAATATCGAGTCCCATAACCATGTTTCGGGAAAATGTTTTCTAACTTCTAACTTATTACGAGAAGTGTGAGTATCAAGTACAATTCCTTCCCCAGACATGACCCGGTTCCTCTTGTGGTATTCATACGTAGGGCTATCGGGTGATCGGGAACGGGATCTCGACTGAGACCGTGACCGCGATCGGTACCTATAGAGCCGTCTCACTAAATATAATATAATCATACATTATATATAGTTATCAGCATATTCTGGGTCTAGGGTTTTAAACATAGTCTGAGGTCTTGCCATACCAGCCCCTAAGTCACCTACTACTCAGCTGTTTGTACCGATTATGTGGCGGTAGTGGTGTACCCCTAATACAACTTGTTTTGCTTAATATAATTATTCTGTACTATTCATAAACATAAATAAATTCACTACTGTAATATTATAATTACAAATCTAAACAACATATTTGTTTGGCAAATCCATGGTCAGCACCGGGATGTTTTAAAACGTAAATTAAAACTATAATAATATTTGGAATATAACTGGAATATTCACCCAGTTGGTTTATGAGAAAATAGTTTTATAAGTGCGACAAAATTAACCAAAAAAGCAAATAATCAAAGTAAACAATTAATGCAAATAAGTCAACAGGGTAGGGGTGTTAATGCAATAGCACAGCAGTATTAATACAATTAGTTTGGAAGTGATTTTGTATGAAAAGCTTAATTCAATTGAAAGTATCAAACATTGCAATGAATTTCACAAAACAATTTCAAATACGAGTTTCGATCGCAAAACTATTGAGTGTTTTCAGCGAAATAGTAATGAAAATGAAATATAGACTCAAATACAGGGCAGTAATGGACCCCCAGATCCAGGTCTCGGGAAAGTGTTTCCTTAGATTGGGTGCATTACTAGTGGTGTGGGCGCCGGCACTATCGACTGATTCTCGAGTAGCACTGATATCATTAGACTCGACAACGAAGGCCTTCTTTGCCACCGGCTCCTCCTCCCACTCCTCCCCTCCTCCACCGAATCCAAAACGAAACCGTGATTCTCATCCGAGTCATAATAATCATCGGGAACTACATTGGGGTGCGATTAAGGGGAAAGGGGTCGCAAGAGATTGTGAATATTACTTACATTATACAGTACACTATAATCTATACTATTATTACAAAACTATTCAAAAACTTAATTCTCGAAATAATAAGTTACTATTTTAAGCGACTTATTAATTCAATATACGTTTGAAATTAAATAATAAGTCATAAAAATTATATATTATTCGTCCGTTTCGTGTGAATCATTGTATGAGAGAGAGAGAGAGAGAGAGAGAGAGAGAGAGAGAGAGAGTCACAAATACCCTGCTAATCTGGTGTCCCATAACCAGGTATCAGGAAAATGTTTTCTAACTTTTACAGGTTCGGCAATAGTATCAGTAATAATGGCAGCCTTTAAAACTTGACCATGCTCAGCCACATCTTTTCTGGGGGCCTTTTTAGCCTTTATAACCATGGCTTTACCACCTTTTACTAACCTCCCCAATGGTCTGTAATGGTAGCGTATCAGCCCTTATAATTATATATAAACTTAATTATAACTACTATATGTTTAAATTATGTAATTAATTAAATTAATTCGCATTATAATTATAATATAAATATTGATATTAGTTTTCATATGTGTCAAGATATTGGCAGCACCGGGAGGTTTTGAAAGATTGTGAAATGCATAAAATTTAGAGACCCAGATGAGCTCCAATAGGAAATTATACAGAATTTGAGCGTTGGTGCACTTGCACAGCAACATGGTCATTTTGTCAGCAATTTAGTCAATAGTAAAATTCATTTTAAAAATTATAATTGCAATGAATTAACAAAACATTTTCATTCATGCGTTTCGATCGCAAATCTATTGAGTGCTTAAAGATATAGTAATGAAAATGAAATATAGAGTAAAATACAGGGCAGTAATGGACTCCCAGATCCAGGTCTCGGGAAAGTGTTTCCTTAGTTTGGGTGCATTACTAGTGGTGTGGGCGCCGACATTAGTAGCACTGATATCATTAGACTCGGCAACGAAAGTCCTCTTTGCCGGCGGCGCCTCGAGCTCCTCTTCGTAATCCAAAAGGAAATCCCCATCCGAGTCATAATAATCATTGGGAACTACATTGGGGTACGATTAAGGGGAAAGGGATCGCAAAACATTTTAAATACTCAGTATAACTTATATTATTATGCAATATAATCTATACTATTCTTACAAAACTATCCAAAAAGTTAATACAGTACTAGAAATAATACTATTTTAAGTGACCTATTAATTCAATATATACTTGAAAATAGATAATAAGTCATAAAAATGATATATTATTTATCAGTTTCGTGGAAATCATTGTATGAGAGAGAGAGAGAGAGAGAGAGAGAGAGAGAGAGAGAGCTAATGACGAGTCCTATAACCAGGTTTATAAGTTATAAATTATCATAAATTACTTTTATAAGTGCAGTAAAAATAAACAAAATGCAAATAATTTTAGTAAACAATTAATGTAAACAAGTCAACAGGTACAAGCAATTAGACAGCAATACGATTAGTTAGGGAGCGATATTGTATCAAAAGCTTAATACAATTAAAAATATCAAAAATTGCAATGAATTTCACAAAACAATTTCAAACACGAGTTTCGATCGCAAAACTATTGAGTGTTTTCAGCGAAATAGTAATGAAAATGAAATATAGACTCAAATACAGGGCACTAATGGACGCCCAGATCCAGGTCTCGGGAAAGTGTTTCCTAGGTTTGGGTGCATTTCTAGTGGTGTGGGCGCCGGAACTATCGGCCGACCCTTGAGTTGCACTGAAATCTTTGCTAAAGGAAGGCATAAGGAAGGCCTTCTTTGCCACCGGCTCCTGGAGCTCCTCCTCGGCATCCAAAAAGAAAACCCCGTCTTCTTCCCCTTCTGGGCCATACACAGGGCTGTCAATGGGAGCTGTTTGGGAGCACCAAGGTATTGACAAAATGCATAAACAATAATATTTATGATAAATATTTTTAAACTATGTAATTAATAATTATTCGCATTATAATTATAATATAAATATTGATATTAGTTTTTCTATGTGTCAAGATATTGACAGCACCGGGAGGTTGTATAAGATGGTGGTGGGCATAAAATTTAGGGACCCAGATGAGCTCCAATAGAAAATTATACAGAATTTGAACGTTAATGCTTAAGCATAGCAACATGGTTATTTTGTAGCGATTTAGTCAAAAATAAAATTCATTTAAAAAATTATAATTGCAATGAATTAACAAAACATTTTCATTCATGTGTTTCGATCGCAAATCTATTGAGTGCTTTAAGATATAGTAATGAAAATAATATATAAACTCAAATACAGGGCAGTAGTGGACTCCCAGATCCAGGTCTCGGGAAAGTGTTTCCTAACTTTTAACTTATCGGTTGATTTAGGTTCAGATTTAATGTGTTTAGCAGGCATTACAGTGCTAGCAAATACCATGGGAAGGGCCGTGGTCATAATGGCAACCCTAGCAGCAGCACGTACACGATCACCAGGCCTTGGTGGCCTATTGTATCGGCGCCGGTATACTAAACAATAAATACATTTCACATATATGATTAAAACTAAACATAACACTATACATAATAAGTATGATTATATTGATAGTTAGTTATAAATTATTAAACATTTAGAAATAGTTTCAAAACTTTAGGCAAACTTATTTGAATCGCGCGTTTCGGTCACAAAAAAAACATTAAGTATTAATCAAAATAATAAATAAAAAGTGAACTCAAAGTACAGGGCAGTAGTGGACTCCCAGATCCAGGTCTCGGGAAAGTGTTTCCTAAGCTTCGGCGGTACTGTCAGAGCACTGGTAGCCACAGGGGTACCGAAGCTACTGTTGCTACCAAATGCAAATGTAGATTGTACCGCCCCGAAAACTCCAAGGCTGGCCCCATCAACCCCACCAAAAAGGGGTCCCCCGGCGGCACCAAACATAGGCATACTATGATAAACTCCTATATTGGACAGGTTTAAGGGGAAAGGGATGGGAAAGGTATAGAGTGAGAAATGTAAAGTGAAAATTCATGCGATTAATTTTTTAGGGTAGAAAAGTGTGCGCTTAGGTATACCAGTCTCATGTTTAGGTACTGTACTAGGTATATTTAAACATAAAACTTGTTAACCCGGTGTAAGTATTAGTATGATTCGTTAGACATTGATTGCATGATAAATGAAATTCATTTATAAATAGTATTTTCATAAACAGTGCAATGAATTCATAAAATCTATTCATTCGTGTGTTTCGGTCACAAAAACTTATCGTGTGTTTCATGAAATGATTTTTAAAATGAAATATAAACTCAAAATACAGGGCAGTAGTGGACTCCCAGATCCAGGTCTCGGGAAAGTGTTTCCTTAGTTTGGGGGAACTAGTCGTCTGAGTGATGGCACCCTGGGATGGAAAGGAATTGGATGCAAGTCCCCGCATTTGTGGTTGTATAGACATAGGCATGGGTGCCCTCCCACCTCCAAAACCACCCGAACTTCCAAAAGCTATGACACCCCTGTGTTCATATCCTATAATAAATATGGTTTACGTAAAGGGATGGGAACATTGAAAATGATTATTTCAAACACTACTAATACTATTCATGCAATAAACTAAGAATTATTAACAAAAATCCATAATCAGTTAAATTTAAATTGAAATACGCGTGGCAATAGCAAATGAGCGAGTTAATTGTGTTAATAAAACATTAAAATGTTATATAAGTGTTTCGGTCATCAAAACTATTGTGTTTTACGAGTCTTCAGAAATAGTAATGAAAATGAAATATAGACTCAAATACAGGGCAGTAGTGGACTCCCAGATCCAGGTCTCGGGAAAGTGTTTCCTTAGTTTGGGAGCACTAGTCGTCTGAGTGATGGCCATACCGGGGGGACCCCGGGATGCAAATGACCGCATTTCTAATTGTGATTGCTTGGGTATGGGTGCGCCCCCACCTCCAAAACCAGCCACACTTCCAAAAGATTCGAGATTCCCGTATTCATACACTATGTAATAAATATGGTTTACGTAAAGGGATGGGAACATTTAAAATGATTATTTCAAACACTACTAATACTATTCATGCAATAAACTAAGAATTATCAACAAAAAATTCATAATTAGTAATTATGCATTTGTAAATTGAAATAAGTTTGGCAATAGCAAATGAGCCGTGTTAATTGTGTTAATAAAACATTAAATATAAACTAATCCTGAATAAACATTTTACACTAAAATGTTATATAAATGTTTCGGTCATCAAAACTATTGTGTTTTATGAGTCTTCGGAAATAGTAATGAAAATAAAAAATAGACTCAAATACAGGGCAGTAATGGACTCCCAGATCCAGGTCTCGGGAAAGTCTTTCCTAAGTTTCGGCGGCTCACTGCTAGCCATAACATCCCCGACAGCACCGGGAGCTTCAGCGGCAAAATTGATGGCAAACTTTTTCATATGAACTGCAGAGACCGGGGCATCAAAAACTGCCCCCTTTTCCATGGCCATCTCAGCCATAGGGACACCAACAGCATCATCAGCAATGAAATAGTCGCCTATATATCGCGCATAATTTAAGGGAAAGGTATGACAAACATTCGCACAATTATTGACATATTATCGACAATTTATATTAGGGGACATTCATTAAGTACGTATTCAACGGTACAATGGTGTTAAGCAATCATAACAACAAACATGTGTTTAATTCGCCAGCAATACACGATAGGGTTAGTAATTAACAATAAAATAATTGATAAAAATATGCCTTAATTTTTTAAAACAATTTGTAATAAATATAGACAAACAAATGTATTGTAGGTTAAAATTAATTTGTTTGTATAGATATATCGCAAATAAAATCAAAAACATATAAAATAATTGATAAAAATATGCCTTAATTTTTTAAAACAATTTGTAATAAATATAGACAAACAAATGTATTGTAGGCTAAAATTAATTTGTTTGTATAGATATATCGCAAATAAAATCAAAAACATACAGAATATACAGAATATTCTGCAAGTGTTCACAAGATAAAGATTCAATCGCATAGCAAACACAGCATTACTATAAATGCCAAACAAAATCAATTCAATCAAAATATGAGACAAACTTATGTCTAATGTTAGCGCAAATCACATCAAAAAATAAAATACAAAATCAAAAAACGTATTCAAAAACTCACTGTACGGCTGATGTCTATGAATGAGTCCATTGGACAGCACCACAACTCCCGAGTCGTCAAACACCTCACCAGTAGTGGCCGATCCGGGCCACCAATACCTCGAGTACTGGCCCTCATCGCCAGCCTTCGCCGCGTCGTATGTCTGCAACTCTTTGATCACATCCTCACGACTCAAATCATAACCAGATTTCAGCAAAAGTACGCTTTGGTCGACACCCAACACGTGCACCGAGGCGTTGGGCTTCGTGTCCACTCTCACGGCTACCGGCGCTCCCGGTTTCGTCTCTTTGACGTCCGTATCGACGGTAACCGGCGTTCGGAACACACCGTCGATTGGTCGACACCTAACACGTGCACCGAGGCGTTGGGCTTCGTGTCCACTCTCACGGCTACCGGCGCTCCCGGTTTGGTCTCTTTGACGTCCGTATCGACGGTAACCGGCGTTCGGAACACACCGTCGACATCGAGGTTCAGGGCGTCGGCCACCACCTCCTGGTTCTCGTCGCGCACGTAATAACAGACTACCCGTGCCTTAGGGGCCAGTCGTTGGTCGGCTTTCACTGTAAACTCATAGGACGTGCTGTTATTTGGCGACAGAGTGCCCGCCTGTACTATAGCTCCCTTTCCCATCACTTGATAGACGAGTTGTTTCATGGGTTCGGTGGCAGTGACCGTCAATTTGATGTCTTGACCGACACTGACATCTTTGGTGTCACTTCGGATCACTTGAATGTAGTTATTGGACGGCGACTCAGCCTTCTGTATGTGTTCAGTATTATATGACTGACCCTTGTATTCAGCCTTCATTCCCAACATGTCTTTCCCTTTAGCCGGCAATACCTCCGCAATGACCATCCCTTTGACGGGTTTCAATAGCAACGTGTCGTTCCACTGATGCTCGTTATAGTCATAGCCATACCGGAGAGTCACTTGCGGGCCGTTATCCTCGACGGGTGTGTTGTCCTGATAACTCACTTTCACGATAACCGTGTATTTGAGGCCCGGCTTAAAAGTCTTGGACGTCTTGATGAGCTCCACCTTTACGTCTCTTTCGTGTATTTTCATAGTCTTTGACTTATTATACTTCCGTCCCGTCAGCGCCTCCTTCACCTCCGCCACGAACTCAACCTCTTTGTCGCCGTAGAAGTTATTCTGAAGACTCAAGTCATCCATGATATCGATGGGTATGTCTACTGTTCCGTCTATAGGAGCTTTGGTTCGGTATTTGCCTATGATTTCCAAAACATACAGAATATTCTTATGATACACAGAAATTCAATAAATAATAAAATCTATTAATAATTACTCGGATTATAGTCCTTAGTCTGAACGGTGAGAGTGAGGTCTCCCTTAACGGGCTTTCCGTACGTATAGACAGCTTTGATGGTCGCCATCATATCGGACTTACTACGGGTCGCATAGGAGGGTAGGGCTATCTCGACGTCAAACGTGGGCAACACATACTCGGCCACCGAAAACCCTTTTTCATGTTTGTGTCCCAACGCCTCCACGACTATAATCCAGTCGCCGAGCACTGGCTGCTCAGAGAGCTGTAGTTCCTCCGAAACCACACCATTAATAGGCATAACTTTAGTCCACTGTTTGATACGATTTCCGTTCGCGTCCTTTAATACATTCAATAGATTTTTAACAAAACATTTCAAACATAATTGAATATAATGTACGAAAAAATCATACCTTTATGTGGATATCGATAGATGTGTTGAGTTTAGGTAATAGCGACGGTTTGACTACCAGTGCCCGGAACTGTACCTTCTGTGCCGGTTTATACATGGCTTTATCGGTCTGTATGAATACGGACACACTCTTGGGCTCAAACACCAGGGCCACCTCATTGCGGAAACCGGACGCCTTTGCCGGCTCACTTTTGGTTACATACCCGGGAGTCACTGAACCGGGGGTTATGTGGTAAGGCCTGGGCGTTGGCTCCGGTGGCACCACAATAGGGAAGTACACTTCGCCGATGCCCTCGATGTACAACTTGTAGGCGCCCTCAGGCCAGTCGCCTATAGCCAGACTTATAACCTTAGTCTCGGATGCGTTGAAAGCTACCGTCCCGTTGATGGTGTTGTTGTTGGGACCGCCACTGACCGTAGCGCTCACTTGTAAGGGGGCCGTCAGGTCGGACACCGACACACTTACATCAAAGTCAGTGTTTGGCCTCAATTTTTTGGGGGCAACCACTGTGTACGTAGGTTTGGCCGCCATTGCCCTACAATACCATAATAATTAGCGTTAGATTTTAATTAATTATAATTAAAATGTTATAATTAGGAATGCAATAAAAATGGACAAAAAATGGGTATTATAAATGTGGCTATACCTGTATCACTGTGATTAATACAAAACTTATTCACTATTTTAATCGATTTTTGATTTTTAATATTTTAATCCTTTATAATAATTTTATATGAGTATTCAATTGATAAAATACTCAAACTTTTATTAATCGATTAAAAAATAAATTATGAATAATAAAATATACTGAGTAATCAAGAAATTTAAAGAAAATTATTATAAATGGTCATACAATTTTATCAAATAAGTATTATATAAAGTTAATATTATATAAACTAGTATTCATATAAACTTATTATAAAGTATTAATATTTTTGAAAATCAAAAACTGATTACGATAGTGAGAGTTTTGTATTAATCACAGGGATACAGGTATAGCCGCATTTATAAAACCCACTTTTTTGTCCATTTTTATTGCATTCCTAGTTATAATATTATATTTTTGTGGTTTATATGAGGGGTAAGAATATAATGTATTTTTAGTATGCATTTGAAAAATATTTGTTCAATTTTTATTACCAATACCTTATAAAGACTTATAAAATCTAATTTGCATTCTAAAACACCCTGAATGTAAATAATTATAAAAGTTTTAGTAAATTAATTTATCGATTACTTACATATGAGTCGAAATAATTGAAAATACTATTAAATACGGTATAGATATTGTAAAACATTGTTTTAAACGTGTTGAATACATGTCTCACTTGGTATAATAAGTAAAACTTTTAACACTAAACCTTTTACTAAATCTTTAACAACTATTATATAACTTGGTATTTCAATAACTATTTGATATATACAGCTGTTATTGAAATGTTATTAAAACCGATTTGAAACGCGATATGAAATGAGAAAACTAATCAAACAACTATTAAAGTGAAAAACAATCCGTATTTATAGTCGAGAAACTTATTTTCATTAATTATATTTTAATTCATAAACAAAATACGAGACTATTCTGGGAACTAATGGCAAGAATTTGATTCATTTGTTTACTTAAAATATTTTTCTCATAATACGTTTGTATGGAAAGCCCTGATACTGACTGTCCATTCAATAGAAAAGTAGTAAATTCTCAGAATAAAGGCTTATTTTCGCGATTGATATCTAATACCCTGAATATATTAGTATTAAAAACTTTTAAAAATTATCTAAAGTTATACAACATCTGAGAAATACTTGTCAGACGACTACTATATATCCCAGACCTACCAAACCTCTCGGTTTACCACTTTCTATCTATACCGAAGTCATTGATATGTTTTAACACGTTTTCAAGGTTTAAAAAAGTTTCTCATTTTTATACAAAAAACATATCCTATCACTGGATATAATACTATTTCATTAGAAATGTTTTTCAAGGCTTTTAAATAGGCGGCAGTTCTTTGAATATCCTACGTTTTCAAGGTTTAAAAAAGTTTCTCATTTTTATACAAAACACATACCCTATCACTGGATATAATACTATTTCATTAGAAATGTTTTTCAAGGCTTTTAAATAGGCGGCAGTTCTTTGAATATCCCATACGATTGCATAACATTAGCTATTATTGCTGTCAATCCCTTAGCATTTGATTAATTGTTTAAAACATAAATAACTATTTATAAAACATTAGTAAAACCTTTAATAGACAATTCCCAACAGATTCATAGAAATAAATAATCAAACAAAAAATTATTAGTAAATAAATTCATGTAATTGTAAGCCTATTACAATAAATAATAGCTAAAACTCGTAAATAGTATCATAGTATGAGATAATCCTATTGTTAAATAGGATTGTATTGTCAGAAAACTATTAAGTTTTATGATTTAAGTTATGAAATATGATTCAATCGATTGTATTGAAAATGACATCAAAAATATAACCATAAAAATAGCTAAAAATTATTGATTACCTCATGAGTGGTTGCTTTATGTCAGTTAGTATTTGGATTAAATGAGTGACAATAAGTAAGTTCTTAGGCTTTGAATAGTTTGTGGTCGCAATCAATGATAACTCAATACTAATTAAAACACGTTTCAAACCTTTTAGACAGCGACTAATAGTAATATATAAATGACTTGAATGTAAAATACTTGTCAAGTCTTATAGACTGGCAAACAAAGGGATTCATGAAAAATACATTTTTATATAATTGTTATACAAAATTCCTAATAAAGTATTATAAATATGACTTCAATTCATATGCAAACACACATTAGTTTTTACATTTTGGTAACAAGTTATTGGTTCACAAAGTGATTGTCATTTAGGCGTGAAATCATTGAAACTCATTACAATATTAATGATACGGTATTTATAATTGAGATAAAAGTGTGAGTCAATACACAAATCTCCCTGCTACAATACATTGTAACTTAATAAGAATTTATCAAATAGTGAACTGGGCAAAGTTGACAAACATTTACCTGGAACAAAATTATTAGTAATCAGTAATAATAATATACAAACTACATTAAGTTTACAGTAAATTATGTAACAATATTGCACCTCCCAATATGATACATTATCAAAACATATACCACCCTCCACATATCAAAGTGTATACACTTACCTAGTCGTGTCCATCCGTGTTAATTAATAAATTAAATGAGTTAATTGTTGTCTTAATAATAAGTTTGAAGCGAGTGTCAAGGTGTTTGGACACACGAAATAGTAACTTGTTTAAATAATTAGACGTTTACACAACGATATGTCAAAAAAAAACAATAAACACATTGCATTGCATTGCATAGTGCTATTGAAATGCCGTTTCCCGGGAAACAAACGCCTATTTGTCACAAAATATATACAATCAGCGTTTCCATAGAAATATCGGCGCTATTTAAAAAAGTTTAAAAGCTAGGTAAATTAAGTTTCTAAAGTGTGCATAGCTGCTTTATTATAATTTTTGAAAATTAAATTGTAATTAACAATTGCTTTTATGGTTGAAATAGGCATTTATTTATTTAGCTATACAAACTTTGCTACTTAGATGCTATTATGGAAAACAAATATAAAGTAACTTTTTTATCAAAAAGTAATCTAGGTTTTAATTACAATATGCTGAATGTAATGAACATGATGAAATGCAAACTAATGTCGAGTCAATTAATTACGATCCCAATAGTGCTGTCAATTATAGCCATCCCTGTAGTCCACTCCCACTGTATCGGTGGTATCGAGACCTTTGAGAAGTCCACACGAATGGTGTCCACCTCTGACCATATGGACACTCTCTTACGCCAACCATACGCCTCCCTAACCCGCGATTGTGTGCACCTCTGCCGACAACAGACCCAATGTCAGGCCTTTGATCTCAATTACGCGAAGTTTATCTGTTATTCATATCCGGATAACTCGACCACAAATAGGGATCAACGAAACACTCTGTCAGTGCTAACCATTTCCGGAAGATATGTCTGAACGGCATAACCAGACCAGACTTCCACAGCGCTTGCGGTCCGGACAGGCTGTGGGTCTCCGAGCGAGTGAACGGCGCGTTCATCGAGGGCTTCGTCGGCAAGCAATTGGATGGCATCGACACCAAAGATGACTGCCTTAAGTGGTGTCTCATTGAGAGGAACTTCATCTGCAGAAGTGTCGACTACGACAGCACCGGACGGACGTGTCGGTTGTCTACAGAGGACCGACGGACACAACCGCAGGCTTTCCGACGAGTGGACAGTAGTGCGAGAGATTACTTCGAGAATCAATGCGCCCCTCGGGGTATGTCATGTCCACCACTATTATACCATATTTGACCAAAAAATACAGTTTATATTATATTTGATAAATTTAGGGACCATTCAATAAGTATGTCCTTTAAAATTTAAAGTTTAAATTACTTTACTCTGGGATTAACTTTCATTTAAAAATTTGTCTAAAACTTATTGAATGACCCTGTAGCAATATAATTTTATATTGCAATCAAGTTATAATTTATAAACTTTCAAGTAAGCTAAACACACATTTAAACTCTGCTTTACTGTACAGTGCAATGGATGTAACCAGTGTTAAACTGTTCCAGGCAATTAGATTAAAGTAGAGTTTAAGTAATCATTTTGCTGTATGACACCAGTTATAACACTGGTATGTTTTATGTGTATCCATTAGGTGGGGCCTCCTGTGTGTTCCGAACCGAAGCCAATGTGTCCGTCCTATCCATGGATTCGTTGCATTTCTCGCAATCGGTAGACGACTGTCGCATACAATGCTATAATGAGACGGCATTCAAGTGTCGGGCCTTCAGTTTCCTCGACAACCGGTGCTCTCTCAGCGCCGACGACGCCGTGAGTCGCGTCAACTTAACCCTTCCAACAGTGAAGGGCGCCGTCTATGGGGAGCGGACGTGCCAACCCATACCCTTAGGTGACACCCCTTTGTCGCGAGGGTATCCTTCTCGATGGAAAGCACAGCTGTCCGGCCCAACACTAATAGGAATAATAGTTTATTGCGTGTATCTAAAGTAAAAAAAGCAGCATGATGCGTTTTACAAGTAATTGTATACCAGGATTATTTAAAGTTATTTATGAGTAATAGCATATAAAATCAAACAAAACCCCTAATTCTCGCATAAAATATCACATTTAATCCCAAATATCTATACTTTTCATACAAATCGAGAAAAATATTTTCAATTCTAATGGGAACTGGATGTGAACGACTGGAGGGGAGACAATGGACGGGCTAATTATGGGTTACTATGGAGTTCGCCAATAGAAACACCGCTAACCTCTGGGTGCCGAACATGCTTTCAGCCGTACAATACTATACATTACAATACTAATGGTAATGAAAATATTGTAATTCGTTATTCACTCAATAACTTATTGTGCATTAAAATTACAACAAATTAAATCAAATGATTGAATTCATGAATTAAGTTACTATATTATGAATGACATTTATACGGATGATACCAGACAAATATCTGATAGGAATATACGAAACCAGACTAATCGAAATATTATTATTGAAAAATTAGTAATGGAGGCTAATGCATAAAATAACATCTTGTAAGCTCAAGTTTAAAACTTTTACTAATTTTCATCATAAAAATATATGACTTAAGTCACATTTAGTATATTAAATATTAGTATTAATAAACCACATGTTCATAAAAATTATTTGTTTATAGAAATCGTTTGTTAATAACAATTATTGTGTGTAACTAAACTAAAACAATTTAAATTAAAATGAATTCTAATAATTTTAATATTAATATTAGTGATGTGAATGAAAAACAAAAAATTATTGCATTTTTAACAAATAAATGTTCGTGTAATATGTGTGCAATCTATAATAATAATAAACAATTTATGCATGATTTAGTTAATCACAGACTATATATTCAAGATATTGATAATAATTCAAAAGACTTAATTATTATGACATTTATTTTGTGTGGACTACAGTCAAAAAAGTGTAATTTTTATTTTAAAAACCAGAGAATATGTAGAAAAACGTTTTTATTTATAAATGACATTTCATTGGAAAAATACTACTGTATTTTAAATCACTTCAAATTAAATGATAATAACATTTGTTATCGAAATCATCAGGGATTTAACAATAACAACAGTGAAAAATATAGTATTGAAGTTAAAAGTAATTGTTTATTATTTATTGAAAACTTTGCTGATAAAAATGGTTATCCTATTCCTGGAGATACACCTAATATTGACTCAAAAATAACCAGGATCTCATTACCACCCAATTATACTAAAAAGGATATTTATTATGAATATAAAA